GACGAGAAGGGAGATAAGGGAAGAGGGAGAGAGAGAAGGGAGAGGAAGAGAGAGATTAGAAAGGAGAGAGGAAGAGAGGAAGAGGAAGAGAGGAGAGAGGAGAGAGGAGAGAGGATAGATGAATAATGAATAGATGAATAGATGAAGAAGGAAGAGAGGAAGAGAGGAGAGAGGAAGAGAGAAGAGAAGAAGAGAGGAGAGAGGAAGAGAGGGAGAGAGGGAGGGAGAGAGAGAGAGAGAGAGAGATGAGAGAGAGAGAGAGGAGAGAGAGAGAGGAGAGAGAGAGAGAGAGAGAGAGGAGAGAGAGAGAGGGAGAGAGGGAGGGAGGGGATGGAGGGAGGGAGGGAGAGAGGGTGGGAGGGTGGGAGGGTGGGGGGAGAGAGAGAGATTGAAAGATTACGGTGGTGAGTTTTGTCTCGCTACATAATCTGAAGATCTGTTAGGTGAGATAAAGCTTGGAAGTGATGTTAATTATGCTTAGATAGCATATGATACTGTCGAGATCTTCGTGATATTGTTACTATGGAGACGAGAGAGAGAGAGACAAGAGACAGAGACAAAGTCAGAGACAGACAAACCGGCAGATAGACAAACAGACAGATATTGACAGACAGACAGACAGACAAACAGACAGACAGATATTGACAGACAGACAGACAGACATAGACAGACAGACAGACAGAGATAAACAAACAGAGAGAAACAGAGACAGACAAAAAAGAATTATTATAGTTATTATCACATTACCTTTGCACATCACCCACCCATCACATTGAAGACACGGGACACCTAATATCACCCCCTCACCCCCCCCTTTTTGCTTCTCCTTCTAGAGTCTGCTGTGGAGGAAGGAGTGGGAAGCCGACACCGTGTTGGAGTGGGAGCCGCCGGAGGTGTTGGAGAAGTATTACCCGGTGGGACAAGCCGGCCATGACAAGGAAGGGCGGCCTGGTGGGTGGAATCTGTTTTGGAGTTTCATTATTTGTTGTTATTGTTGTTAGTATTTTTTTTTTCTCTTTGTGTCTGTTTTTTTTTTTTTTTTGGTTTGGTTTGGTTAAGGGTTTGGTTTGGGGTCTTTTTCTTTCTTTCCTTTTTTTTTCTTTTTTTCTTTCTCTTTCCTTTCTTTTTTTTTTTTCTTTTTGTCTTTCCTTTTCCCTTCTTTACTTTTCTCCTTTCCTCTCCTCTCCTCTCTCTCTCTCTCTCTCTCTCTCTCTCTCTCTCTCTCTCTCTCTCTCTCTCTCTCTCTCTCTCTCTCTCTCTCTCTCTCTCTCTCTCTCTCTCTCTCCTCCCTCTCTCTCCCTCTCTCTCCCTCTCCCTCTCCCTCTCCTCTCTCTCTCTCTCTCCTCTCTCTCTCTCTCTCTCTCTCTCTCTCTCTCTCTCTCTCTCTCTCTCTCTCTCTCTCTCTCTCTCTCTCTCTCTCTCTCTCTCTCTCTCTCCCCTCTCTCTCCCTCTCCCTCTCCCTCTTCCTCTTCCTCTTCCTCTCCCTCTCCCTCTCCCTCGCCTTCTCCCTCTGCCTCTCCCTCTCCCCCCCCACCTCTCTCTCTCTCTCTCTCTCTCTCTCTCTCTCTCTCTCTCTCTCTCTCTCTCTCTCTCTCTCTCTCTCTCTCTCTCTCTCTCTCTCTCTCTCTCTCTCTCCCCCTCTCTCTCTGACAAGTTTTCCAAATATGGAGGCATTCAGAAAATTAAAAACACCATGCTACATTTTACTCAGTCCTTCTAGTGAGCATGAATCATCATCGGAGCATCAGACCGCTTGAAAATTGCTCTGCGAAGGGAGGTTAAGCCATTTTAATGTGAAAAATCATTAAGGAAAAGGAAAGTTACAATTTGAAAGTATCACGTACCAAAGTCGGCGCTTCACGTACCCTCAAGCGGTACGTGTATTGTACCATGACAGTTTTTTTTTTGTATAAAGGTCTCATCTTTTTTTTTTTTTTTAGTTTGGTTAGAGTTATTTTATAGGTTTTGTGACATTTATTTATTTTTTTTTATTCCTGGGAGCATTTCCTTGATTTGTTTGTATGGAAAGAGTAGTATATTTTTCCCTCTTTAAATAATCGAGTTAATTTTTGTTTCCCTTTTAAAATGTTTCTTGTTATCCGGTTTGAAAAAAAATAATTATTTAGCGTATAACTTAAAGTAAAAAAAAAATATTATATAAAAAGCATATGAAAGTATCATGTCAGTCTTCTTCTCGTTGAAAATAACCTTAAACAAAAATATCTAAGAAGGAAAACAAGTGAGAGTGAAAGGCCAAACTTGGGTTGTGTATATTTTTTTTCTTATGATTAGTAAAAAAAAAAAGATATATATATATTTACATCCCCTTCAACCCATGGCGTAACGTGAACATAACATAATAGTAAGCTTCAAATGTAAAAAAAATAATGACCTTTCACCCACTTAAACTTAAAGAAAAAAAAATAAATAATAAGAAAAATAAATAAATAGAATGAAATAATAAGAAAAATAAATAAATAGATTGAAATAATAAGAAAAATAAATATATAAAATGAAATGATAAAAAAAATAAACAAATAAAATGAAATGATAATAAAAATAAATAAATAAGATAAAATAATAAGAAAAATAAATAAATAAAATAATATAATAAGAAAAATAAATAAATAAAGTAAAATAATAAGAAAAATAAACAAATAAAAGGAAATAGTAAGAAAAATAGAAAAATAAAATTAAATAATAAGAAAAATAAATAAATAAAATAATAAGATAAATAAATAAATAAAATAAAATAATAAGATAAATAAATAAAATAAAATAATAAGATAAATAAATAAATAAAATAAAATGATACGATAAAATAATAAGAAAAATTAATCAATAAAATAAAATAATAAGAAAAATAAATAGATAAATAAACAAACTTCATTATCCGCAGTCTGGATCATCCCTTACGGCGGGTGCGACATGCGGGGCCTTCTCTCCAGCGTCCGCAAGAAGGACTACGTACGCTACACCATCCGCGTCCTGGAAGCTTCGAGAAAGGACATGGAGAAACAGACGCAGGTCCTGGGTCATCCCGTCACGCAGCAGTGTTGCATCTTTGACCTGGAGAATTTCTCGCTGCGCCACGTGACCTGGAAACCGGGTAGGTAGAGGGGAGGGGGAGGGGAGTGGGGGGTTTGTGTGTGTGGGCGGGGAGTGTTGGAGTGGGGGGGGTTGTTTGTGTGTGTGTGGGGGGGGGGAGTTTTGCGTGTGTGTGTGAGAGAGAGAGGGAGGGAGAGAGAGAGAGAGAGAGAGAGAGAGAGAGAGAGAGAGAGATGGAGGGAGGGAGGGAGAGAGAGAGAGAGAGGGAGAGAGAGAGAAAAGGAGAGAGAGGAGGAGAGAGAGAGAGAGAGAAAGAGAAAGAGCTGTGAATTAAATTATGAGAGATAATGCAAGAAAAAAAAATATTCACAGGAACTGCCACATGTTACATACCAGTAAAACAGGATGATGCAACATCATTCTCTTTTCACATATATACCTATCTATCTAAATCTCTCGCTTGAAAAATAACAGGTGTTACTCAACGCTGTTCAATGTTGCATCTCTTGCAATCTTCTCTTGAACTCTCTGAGGATAAAAGCGAAAGTAATCTTATGAACACCAACCATCTCCGCTCTCTTTAACATTTTTTTAGAATTCATAATTATTTTTTATATAATATTTAAAATTTATAATTATTTTATACAATTTATAAATATTTTTTATATAATATTTAAAATTTATATTTATTTTATACAATTCATAATTATTTTTTATATAATACTGAAAATTCATAATTATTTTATACAATTTATAATTATTTTTATATAATATTTTACAAGGGTGATTCTGACTTTCAACAGCAATGGACGTCATCCTGCAGCTGGTGCAACTTTACGAGGCGAACTACCCAGAGCTCCTCAAGTGTGCCTATGTCATTAATGGTAAGTTTTAGGGGGATAAAAGGGTTAGGGAAAGGGAGGGAGGATGGGGGGGGAAGGGGTAGGGGAAGGGGAAGGGGAAGGGGAAGGGGAGGGGGAGGGGGAGGGGGAGGGGAAGGGAAAGGGAAAAGGGAAAGGGAAAAGGGAAAGGGAAAAGGGAAAAGGGAAGAGGAAAAGGAAGAGAAAGAGAAAGGGAAAGGGAAAGGGAAAGGGAAAGGGAAAGGGAAAAGGGAAAGGGAAAAGGGAAAAGGGAAAGGGAAAGGGAAAGGGAAAAGGGAAAAGGAAAAGGGAAGAGGAAAAGGAAGAGAAAGAGAAAGAGAAAGTAAAAGGGAAAGGGAAAGGGAAAGGGAAAGGGAAAGAGAAAGAGAAAGAGAAAGAGAAAGGGGAAGGGGAAGGAAAGGGGAAGGGGAAGGGGAAGGGGAAGGGAAAGAAGAAGAGGAAGGGAAAGGGGAAAGGGAAGAGGAAGAGGAAGAGAAGGAGGAAGCAGGAGATGTTGAGAGTAGGATAGGGAGGGTGAGGGAAAAGGTATGATAAGGTAGAGGGAGAAAGAGAGGAGAGGGAGGTATAAGGAGGAGAAAGGGATGGAGGGTGAGAGAGAGAGGGTGAGGGGTAGGGAGAGATGGAGAGAGAAAAGGGAAAGAAGGTGGAGAGAGAAAAGAAGAAGATTAGGAGAGTAAGGGAGAGGAAGATAGGAGCGTGAGAGGGAGGAAGATGAGGAGAGTGAGGGAGATGAGGGAGGGGAAGAGGGTGATAGGGGGGAGAGAGATGGGTTAGGGGGAAGGGGAGGAGTAGGGAGAAACAGAGACATTGGAGAGGGAGAGGGGGATGGGGAGAGATGGAGAGAGAGATGGGGGATGGAGGAAGAGGGAAATGAGGGAAAGGGAGAGGGAATGAGTAAGAGAGGGAGAGAGATAGGGGACGAGGAAGAGAGGGAGAGGGGGAGGGAAAGGGAGAAGGAGAGGGAAAAGGAGAGAAAGATGGGGAAGGATAGAGAGAGTAAGAAAGAGAGGGAGATGAAGAGAAAGAAGGAGAGAAGATGGGAAGAGGGAAGGAGAAGACGATAGTGAGAGAGAGGGAGAGGGAGAGGGAGAAGTTGAAGGAGGAAGGAGGAGAAGGAGAGGGAATTATGCGATGTTTTGAGATAGGGAAAGCGATGGAGACAGAGAGGGAAAGGGAACAGGGAGAAGGAGAGAGGATGGCAGAAGCAGAAGGAGAAGGGGAGAGAAAGGGAGAGTGAGAGGCAAAGAAAGCGGAGAGAAAAAGGGAGAATTAGAGGGAGAAGAAGAGGGAAGAGGGAGCAAAAGAGTGAGAGTGAGGGAGAAGATAGGGATATAGGAGGGATTAGAGGTTTGATAATGACTGCTCGTTTCAGTTATAGCATTTTCTTATCATCTTTATTACAGTGGCAATTAGAATGACAGTTTTTTTTTTTTAATAAGTTAAAACAGTTGTATTTTTACAGTGATGTTTTTGATTTCAGGAAAGATGTCAACAGCAATATAAACTTTATTGTTAATTGTGATAATGATGATTAATTGCATTTATTATTGTGATTAGTTATTGTGGTTATGCAGATATTAATTATCAAGATATTTAATCAAGTTGATACTGATAGTGTGATAATGATTTGCTATTAATGACTTCATGATATGAGAAATCAATAACACCTCTCATGTTAATTGAATGTTAGTGAAAGATTAAGCATTCATGATTAGTTTTTACAAGCTGTGATGATTATTTATTTAGTCAAAGGATCAGATCTCACACACATGCACACGCACACGCACACGCACACGCACACGCACGCGCACGCGCACGTGCACACGCACACGCACACGCACATGCACATGCACATGCACATGCACACGCACACGCACATACACACGCACGCACACACGTTTTAGGGATTTAAACATTGGCTTCTCTTGACTTAATTCCCAATGAAGGTTCCAGTTGTACCTTAATAATTAAACAATATCTAAACTCCTACCAACAGCCCCAAAGGTCTTCACACTTGCATATGCAGTGATCAAGCCCTTCCTTCACGAGGTCACTCTTAAGAAAATACGCATCTTCGGCTACAGTGGCTGGAAAGAGGAGCTCCTGAAAGACATTGAGGCTGACCAGCTTCCTCAACACTGGGGCGGAAGTCGAGTCGATCCTGATGGAGACCCAAAGTGCCCTTCTGTGGTAAGTATTGATGAGACATATTGCTTTAATCATGAATCTTCTGTCTGTGGGGAGCTATCATACGCTTTTCAACTCCTTGGCTCAAAGAATTTCTGTGGATGTAGTGTTGTCAGATGCTGTGATTTGTCTACCCAATTCACTCACCACAAACTAGTACGTCATCCCGATCCCATCTCAACTCTGTGCCACCTCTTCCATGCTACCGGGAATACAAGTAGTCTTTGCACATGAATGTTTATTTTAATTCAGCTATAATGGCAAAATATCCAAACTTTCCACCTGTACTCTTAATGTCTGTTATCTGCACATCTACCAGCATATGCTGGTCATAGGAAGAGGATGTTAACACAAAACCCAGTATTTGATCCCTTATATATGAAGAACTGTATAGGGTCAGTCAGGTAGAAACATTGCATTGTCTTTTTTGTATTGGGAATTTATGCTTCTGAATAATATATTTGCCCCCAAATTCCTGTAATTGATTGTATCAAAGTCACCATTTGTAGTGCATTACATAAGTATAGAATTATGTAGAGATACAGCATTTTAAGACTATGTATCCAAATATTTAGGGGAGGAAATAATTCAGTTTTGTTATGATTTTGATTTCACTGTTTAGTGGTACAGATAAAATTGATCTCTTCCTTTTCAGATCTGTCTTGGTGGTGAAGTACCTACAAAATACTATCTGAGTCTCAGCAAGAGCAATCTCTCTAAGCTGGATGATGATGAGAACCTGTGCAGCATCACGTTAAGCAAAGGAGGCAAAAAGCGACTGAAGTATGAAGTTAAGAAGCCTGGATCACGGTTGAAGTAAGCATGATGTTGCATTTATTAGTTACCAGTCACCATGAGTTACTTTTTGGAATTATGTATTTCTCAGCAAAGTGATCAGTAAACTACACATCGCCCTTTTTAACTTACTTTAAAAATTGAAAGTAATTAAGCATTTAAGAGTAAGGATGGTGACATGAAATGATGCTAATGTCATGCCCTTTTTTCTCAGGTGGGAGTTTAGAACTGAAGACTTCGACATAGGCTTTGGAGTGTCTCGCAAGATTAAGAAAGGAGAAGAGGAGGTAATTGTGCCACTACAGAGAGTCAACTCACAACTTGTGACAGAGGAAGGCTTTCTTGTGTGTATGGAACCTGGAACTTGTAAGTACAGATGTCATATCACAGTGGTACATTCTTTTGAACTATTTGAAATATTTGTTTACATGAAGTTTTGGGAATGTAAATGTATTGGGTTTGACAAATTTGAAGCTGCTTATAAGGAGTTTAAAACAAATTCAATCAAATAAATACCTTGTAAATAGATTTTTTTTTTTTTGATTATTTAGTTTTTCTAGTCAAAGTAAGAAAAGAATCACCATCCCGAAAAACCGATTACCACTCCTTTCTTTTCTCTGTTTCTTTTGACAGATGTCGTGACCTTTGACAATGAGTTCAGCTATGTTAGATCAAAGAAGGTGCTTTACAGAATCAATGTGGAAGCCTCATCCTGAAGTGTCAGCTAGCTTCCTCAAAGAGAAGAGGTGGTCCTCTTTACAGGGCAACTTCTTCGGGAAGTCAGTGTATCTAATGCATTTACTTTTTTTTATTCCTTCCCCCCAAAGAAAACAATGGAATCCTTATTTGATAAGGAAAATATTGCACAGAGGAATTAGAGTGTCATTCACACAATATATTAATGGTAAGATAATGCAAAATAATTTTTTCTAACCAAATACTGTTCCAGTTTTGTATCCCAGATGATATTTTATTGATAACTAGAGCCTTTCAAAGGTGTTTGATCTTGTATATGGTAAAAATAATGGGATACTCTCCAATTTGTTTTTGTGGGCAAATAGAGTAGACTTTTGTATGTCATTTATAGTGTGGAAATATGATAACTTTGATTAGATAAGAAAGTATAGAGATTTTCAGATGTGCATCCAAAGACATGTTCATAGAAACTTGAACGCTTACTTCCTTTATGAATGCATAAGAATATAAAAAGAAATTGCCACATTTGTAACTATGACAACCCAGTTACTGGTTTTCAGGCCTTTAATTGTAAACTGCTTAAAATACCTGTTAATTCTCGCTTAGATCAAAGGATCAATGATACCTCTTCGAATGACTGTAATGTGTTTTTTTTATATAAACTTGTACATCTGTTTTAACTGTATCTGTATCTCTGTCTATCTGTTCATCTATCGCACACACACACAATTAAATGCACTCACTCACGCAACACGCACTCATGCAACACGCACACACACACACACAGACACACACACACAGACACACACAGAGACACATTAAGACACACGGAGACATATGCGCACGCAAACATGCACATATGCACACACACACACACACACACACACACACACACACACACACACACACACACACACACACACACACACACACACACACACACACACACACACACACACACACACACACACACACATGTACACGCACATGCACACGCACTCATACACACACATACACACACACACGAGTACATATAGGTTATATATGCTTTACTTGTTCATAATCAAATCCTTAGATATATATGACTCTGTAAAAATATTTGTTTTTGAAATAATGTTGATTTTTTCTTTGTTTAGTTAAATTTATCATATCTGTTAACAATGAAGATATCAAAAATGTAAGAAAAGAAAAGCAAAAGATCACTGTCACTGATACTCGAATTTCCATCCCAGATGAAAGAGTATTAGTCGTGTGATCATTTCAGATAATCAAACTAGGCGATAGTTTCTGATTCATTTAACTATTTAACTTTGTTGTGTTTCATTTGCATCACTTGTTAGCTTTTGATGCTGTGTGTCTTGTTTAGCTTTGCTTACTCATTTTTTTTTTCTGTTGTATATTTTGCAAGGACATGAGTTTGCATCAGAGTGATTTCTCTTCTCTTGTTGTTTTTTCTCTTTCTGAAGAATGTATGTTTATTCTAGGAACTTGTAACATATTGTGACATATTATATGACAATATGTCACATGGTTTTAGATTGCTCTTTTCTTTTATATATATATATATATATATATATATATATATATATATATATATATATATATATATATATATATATATATATATATATATACATACATACATACATATATATATATATATATATATATATATATATATATATATATATATATATATATATATATATATATATATATATATATACATATATACTTATATATACATATATATACATATATATACATATATATACATATATATACATATATATACATATATATACATATATATACATATATATACATATATATACATATATATACATATATATACATATATATACATATATATGCATATATATGCATATATATATACATATATATATACATATATATATACATATATATATACATATATATATACATATATATATACATATATATATACATATATATATATATATATATATATATATATATATATATATATATATATATATATATATATATATATATATATATATATATATATAATAAATGTATATATATTATTTATTTTTTATATATACATTTATATATATATATATATATATATATATATATATATATATATATATATATATATATATATATATATATATATATATATATATATATATAAATATGTGTGTGTATTTCCTCTTATGCTGTGATGTTTTTGTTAAGGATATTTATGTCAAGAGCTGTAGACTCTTGATGAATCTACATTCCAATACCTTCTTTGGTAACTATTCAGTGGTTTATACAGAGCATAGAGATATGAATGAAATATTTATTTGGCGGAAAAAGTATTGTTATACTTGATATTTATTTCTTATGTGTACGTTCATAAACCTTTCACTTAGATTCATGTGCATTTTTTTTATGATTTCAAATATAATGTCAATGTATTCTTATATTTTCTGAGACCTGTATTGTTCAGTGTGATTAACATATGTGTATGTATGGACATATGTATGTATGTATGAATGTATGCATATATACATATGTAAATTATATATATATGTATTGTATATATTAAATATATGTGTATATATGATATATATATGTATATATGTGTAAGTATATATATGTAGATATATACTTGTTTATATATGTATATTGTATATTTGTATATATATGTATGTATATGTATATGTATGTATATATATGTATATGTATGTATATATATGTATATGTATGTATATATATGTATATGTATGTATATATATGTATATGTATATATAAATATAAATAAAAAAATATATAAATATATATATATTATATATATATATATTATATATATATATATATATATATATATATATATATATATATATATATATATATATATATATATGTATATATATATACATATATGTATATAGATATATACATATATGTATATATATACATATATGTGATATATATATACATATATGTATATATATAATATATATATATACATATATGTATATATATATATACATATATGTACATCTAATATACATATATGTATATATATATATACATATATGTATATATATATACATATATGTATATACTATATATATATATATATATATATATATATTTATATATAAATATATATATTTATATATATATATTACATATATATATTACATATATATATTACATATATATATTACATATATATATTACATATATATATTACATATATATATTACATATATATATTACATATATATATTACATATATATATTACATATATATATTACATATATATATTACATATATATATTACATATATATATTACATATATATATTGCATATATATATTACATATATATATTACATATATATATATATATATATATATATATATATATATATATATATATATATATTTATATTTATATATATATTATACATGCACACACACACACACATATATATACATACTCATATATGTATTAAATATTGATCTCATGCACAAAACCCAGTTCAATTTATGATGAAAAACTTATTTTTTGGTTCATATATGTATTAACTTCTTTTGTTTCTGTTAAAATTATACTTGATTAAGAAACATGACATTCTGTATGCATAAGGATAATTTGTAGAAATAACATTGACTCCTCAGGCATGTAAGAAAAATATTGAGAAATATAATTATGTTAAAAACTTCTGACATTAGAAATTCTAACACATAGCAAAAGCTTATCTAAGGAATTCTTTTCTTATATGCCCAGTTTATTGAACATTGATCAATTTTTAGAAATATTAAACTGGAAACTGAAGCAGAACAGTATAAAATGGAAATATATTTTATAGTGAATTGTCACAAAAAAAAATGACACTTTCTCGAATTCAGTGCGTGGACCAATTTTATCAAATGTGACAAACACTTTTACTATTCTTAAGTCTTGAGTAGCCTTCCTTGCTGTATATTCCTCCTATTTTTGTACCCCCCTCCCCAGGCTCTGGACAATTGTGTATTTGATGACTGAATTATCTTGGGTTTCCTGGTGCCTTATGACTAGAAACAACCAGATAGAGAGTTAAAGCTCTGTTTTATTTTACGAGATCATCTGTTTACTGTGGATGCTAAGGCAGGTTTTGAAAAAGAGGTAGAGCATGTTTGAATTAGGTTGTATGGTGCGTCTAGGTGCAGAAATCATGTACACGTTTGATGATAAGTTAGAAAAATAATTACAGCAACACAAGACACTGCATTTTCATCAAATAAACTACAGATTTTTTTTTTTTTTTTCAACCATAGACTTTATATATGGACTTTAATCAATTATAATTTGATGTGTTAGTCTCATCTTGATATATTCCAGTTTCATATTCTGTCCTTAAGAACGAGTACTGAGATTTAGTGCCTGTTTTAAAGACTTAAAAAGTCTTATTAGAAGAATTAAAAAGTTTTATTGTGACAAAAATAAATAACAATGAAAATCAGTAATCATTAAATCATTAGCAGAATATGTCAAAGGCCCAATATATGAACGTCATACATATTACCCTAACTTACTAAGTGGAACATGCTCTTTCCTCTAAGAAAATCTGTCACTTGAGAACAATTTGATACTAAAAGTTAAATAAAATTCTAATTCAGATATCAGTACAGTACGCCAGCTTGTAGCATTTCCTGTATATTACACTTGATTGATCCCGCGAACTGTCTTCTGTCATCCATCTTATTTATTTGGGCTGAGATAGATTTCTTCTGATATAAAGTACATATCTTTAATTCAGGATTGTGGTTAATTATATTTGGGAGATGTTAAGATATCATTTATTGTTTTAGTTAGAATTTCATATACTGCTCTTTTGCAAGTTTATCATATTGTACTGTTTTGTA